GTGTACACCAAAAATAAAACCAAGCTCTTGGAGCCATCAGTATTTTATTTTCCAAGAACGTTTCTGGAAGGCTATATAGGATACCAGAACAACAAGAGTTGGAAGGGAACTTGGAGGTCTTCTAGTCCAACCCCCTGCTCAGGCTGGAAACCTTATACCATTTCAGACAAATAGTTATCCAATCTCTTAAAAGCCTCCAGTGATGCAGCTCCCATAACTTCTGAAGGAAGCTTTTCCACTGGTTAATTGTTCTATCAGGAAATTTCTCCTTAGTTCTTGGTTGCTTCTCTCCTTGATTAGTTTCCATCCATTGCTTCTTGTCCTGCCCTCAGGTGCTTTGGAGAATAGGTTGACCCCCCCTCTTCTCTGTGGCAGCCCCTGAGATATTGGAACACTGTGTTCCAATATAATATATAAGGGCCAATAATTGTTTTTGATAAATATAGGTGTCTGAGGATGGTGGTTTACTTTCTAGAATATTAGCTTTCTGCTTACTTTTTAAATTAAAATAATATAAAATTACATGGGGCAGAAACCTTGGGTGCCTAATTCCCTAATAGGGTCTATAGATATTTTCTTGACACCCACCAAAATCCCTGCCCCGTGTAATTTTATAATGTCTACTCAAAGCAGAAGTGCTTACAGAGTATGGTTAAAGATGGCAGCCATAATGGTGTGATTCAAGCTCGGCCTTGTTATATGAGTGATGTGCAATGCATCACTCGTATAAAACATATAAAATTTCAACTGCAGTTATCTTGACTTTTTTGACCTTCCCTATCACAACATCCCTGGTTTAAAAGACCTTCCATTGCCTCAATTTGAAGGGAGACTGTCCACAGCAGTGTTTTTCAGCCTTAGCAACTTTTAAGATGGGTGGCTGGCTGGAGAATTCTGGGAGTTGAAGTCCATGCATCTTAAAGTTGCCAAGGTTGGAAAGCCTCAATCTAGGGATTTTTTTTTTTAGAATGGAGACAGAAATAATTTGCTACCCAAAAACCTTCTGCCATTAAAGCTCTCAAAATCCCTAAGAATGGGGACAAATCTAGCCCCAAATGGCAATTTTGGACCCCCGGAGGTGCTTTGGTGGGCTGAAGGGCAGACCCCGAGGGCTGTTTGAAGAAGAATTGTGGTGATTTTGCTGCTGATGTTTTGCAGAATCCACTAGCAGTTCTTCGGCCTGTCAGCTGCTGGTTTATCTTACACTCCGGATCATTCACCCTGATCAACGATTCATCATCCGCAACATAAAAGCAGCAGATCCCCAAGGCAACATAAAAACATAACCTTAAAAAAAACAACAACCCATCATCACCAGATGGGCTTAAGAAGCATCTTAATGTTCATTCGGGGCCCAAAGTCCTATTCGAAAAGGAGTTTTTCCTCTTCTGAGCATGTTCAAGGAGGTCTGGAAGCTCAAGGACAACCAGTTCCTGAAATATCTGCTTTATAGTGTACAAACTGGACAGGATAATTTAGCCAACAGAGCTACCCCTGAGATGTGTGTCTGTGTGTATCCAACTTCATGATGTTCCAGACAGATATAAAGAACTGGTCTATGGGTAAGAAGCTGGACGTGGTTCTCTGATTGGATTGCTCATTGAAGGAGGGAGATTTAGAGTGGACTGTCCAGACCAAGGATGTCAAACTCAAGGACTGCGGGCCGCATTTGGCCCGCGGGGTGCTTAAATCTAGCCCACAGGGCAGGCAAGGAAATAAATAATAAAGGACCGACCCACTATGCCTCTGGCAGCCAAAACGGGGCACAGGGGTGGTGAGGCACTGTGCAGGTTTCAAAAACCCACGCCAGTGGTGGGTTGCTCCCGGTCCTGTCCGGTTCTTGCGAACCAGTAGTAAAAGCGGCGGGAGGCTCCGCCCACCTGCCCGGACGTCATAATGGACGATCTGTGCATGCACAGAAACGTGTGTGCATGTTCCTGTTGTGAACCGGTAGTAAAGGTAAGTAGAACCCACCCCTGACCCACGCCCCATTTTGGCTGGCAGGGTGCTGCAGGTGGCTTCCGTCCCGTCTCTCCCCCCCATCTCCTGCCGTCATCCAGCCCGCAGAAAACACTATTATATACAATGCTAATCTGGCCCTTGAAGAAATCCAATTTGACACCCCAGGTCCAGATGGATGCTGGTTTTTTTCCCCCCTCTGTTTCACATTCTACATTATACTTTAAATATTGTTTAGAGTTAGATCTGCCTAAATCAGATTTAGAATTAGAGTTAGATGCTGGCTGCCCAAATCAGGGTGACATTGGACAGGTCGACCTTAGCTGTCCAATATTACCCTGATTTGGGCAGTATCTAAAATCAGTATCTAAAATCTAAAACCAACACTGGGCAGCTTCTTTTTTTAAAAAATGAAATTCAGTTTTGCAAAAACCCTAGGAATCTGGATGGGGGAGGGCAGGCTCTCCTGATTCCATCCTCCACCTGATGCTCAGGAGATCAAGAGAGGCTCCCCAAACTGGCTCCCCCACTCCTCTGTGTTTTTGCCTGTGTGCGACACAACTCCTCTTGTGGATGGAGTTCACCCTGCTCCAGATGATAACTGGATAACCGTCATTGCTGGGCCTCTTCTGTCCCATCAAGTCCCTCCCAGCCTCCAAGGCTGGATAGGGTGATCAGGCCTTCAAGTGTCATGTTGTTCTAAGTTGTGTATGTGTTGTGTGTGTGTGTGGGGGGGGGGGGGGGGCAGACAGGAAGAGATCTTCAACAGAAAAGACTTGGAAGGGAGAATTTTCCTTAGGCAGGAGTTTAGGCCTAGTATTGCAGCTCAGCTGGAATAAGGATTTGCAGGGTTGTTGTTATGGGGAAAATAGAAGGAGGAAGGTGTGTTGGATATAACAGAATAACAGAGTTGGAAGGGACTTTGGAGGTCTTCTAGTCCAACCCCCTGCTCAGGTAGGAAACCCTGTCAAATCTCTTCTGCAAAATTTCCAGTGTTGGAGCATTCACAACTTCTGGAGGCAAGTTGTTCCACTGATTAATTGTTCTAACTGTCAAGAAATTTCTCCTAAGTTCTAGGTTGCTTCTTTCTTTGATTAGTTTCCACTCATCCTGCATTCAGATGCTTTGGAGAACAGCTTGACTCCCTCTTCTTTGTGGCAGCCCCTGAGATATTGGAACACTGTTATCATGTCTCCCCTAGTCCTTCTTTTCATCAAACTAGACATACCCAGTTCCTGCAACCGTTCATATGTTTTAGCCTCCAGTCCCCTAATCATCTTTGTTGCTCTTCTCTGCACTCTTTTTAGAGTCTCCACATCTTTTTTTACATTGTGGCAACCAACGCTGGATGCTATATATTCTAAGTGTGGTCTTACCAAGGTGTTATAAAGTGGTATCAACACACCACACGAGCTTGATTCTATCCTTCCGTTGATCCAGCCTAGGACTGCATTGGCTTTTTTGGCAGCTGCCGCACACTGCTGGCTCATATTTAAGTGACTATTCACTAGGACTCCAAGATCCCTCTCACACTTACAATAAAGGCGGGATGCAATAAATACAGGTAGTCCTCAACTTACCAGCAACCCAGCCCAAAATTTATGTCGCGAAGCGAGAAATGTGTTTTAAGTGAGTTTTGCCCCATGTTATGACTTTTCTTGCCACATCCGTTAAGCCAATCACTGAAGTTGTTAAATGAGTAACCTGGCTGTTAAGTGAATCCTGCTTTTTTTCCCCATTAACTTTTGCTTGTCAGACAATTGCAAAAGGGGATTCCGTGGCTCTCGGGACCGTCATAAATACGAGCCAGTTGGCCAGCCTCCAAATGTAAATCATGTGACCGCAGGGATGCTGCCACGGTCGGTCATTAAATCTGAAAAAAACGGTCACCGCTCTCTTTTATTTTCAGTGCCATGGTAACTTCAGCCAGTAAGTGAATTGTTGTAAGTCAAGGACTAGGTGTGAAATAAATTTAGAGACGGGGCCGCCAGAACTGGCATTGCCAAACCACCACAACCATATCACCATTAAATAATAGTGATAATAATAATAATAATAATAATAATAATAATAATAATAATAATAATAATTTTTTTTTTTGAATACAGACAGATCGTCACTTGGAACACAACCCACTAGATATAACAGTTGTCGAAAACCTAAATGCACAATTTATTGACATCGCGATACCAGGAGATGCCAGAGTCGAAGAAAAAGAACTGGAAAAAGTCATGAAATATCGCGACCTGGCCATCGAAACTACACAGCTATGGATGAAACATGTAACAGTGATACCCACTGTCATCCGTGGTACCATGTCCAAGAATTTTATAAGATACATCAACAAATTGCAGCTTCCTGCAATAACACCAGCTGTGCTACTTGGAACATCGTACCTCTTACGAAGGTACTTGGTTGATACCTCGGATGCTGGCAGCAACCCGTATCAACCATTAGCACCAGTCAGTGATATTTGTGATGCATTTTTGAATGTTCAGTTGACTGAGTTTCCTGTTTAATGAATAAAGTAAATAATAATAATAATAATAATAATTCTACTATAATAATATATAGTAGAAATTTATATTATTATAAATAATAATATATATTTTATAAAAATAATATATAATATTTTTGAATGTTCAGTTGACTTGAGTTTCATGTTTAATGAATAAAGTAAATAATAATATATAATTCAAATAAAGTAAATAATATATAATAATTTGACTACAATATATAATAATAATATAAGATATATAATATATGATATAATAATATATAATATATTATAATAAATAATAAATAATAAATAATAATAAATAATAAATAATAATAATAATAATAATAATAATAATAATAATAATAATAATAATTCGACTAGTGATTTGGGATACGAAATCCAGCATGGTCATCTCGTTTGCCGTGTATTCTGTCATCATCATCATCATCATCAATTTATCCGGACCAAACTTTCCCTTTGGCTGCACAGAAGGAGCATGAACAGTTAAGGAAACGACGGAGATCAACCCGCGCCAACTCACCGCAATCAGGGCCGGATTCCTGGGCTCGCCTCCAGCGGCGGCGCTCGGCTGCTCCCCGTTGATCCCACTCCTGCCACCAGCGCTGCCGTTGCTCATCAGCTGCGGGGGATAGTAGTCGGTCGCCGGGGGCGCTGCGGCGTTAGCAGAAGGCGCGGCCGAGCCGTTGCCTCCGGCCGTCCCTGCCCCTGCCGCCGCTTTGCTGTGCTTGCTTCCCTTGCGGGCCGCCTGGCCGTGTTGCACCAGGTTAAGGAGCTGCAAGGTGTTCTCCCGCTCGCGATCCGAGCTCTCGGCGCGGCCCCGCTCGTAGCGGCCCTCGCAGGTCAAGTGGTGTTGGCGGCAAACGGCGATGCGCGCCCGGAGCCTCTCCACGATCGCGCTGTGAACCCGCGGGGCCGCCGCCGCCGCCATCGAGCCTCCTCCTCCTCCTCCTCCGAGGAGACCCAGGGCTTGAGGGGGCGCCGTATCCCCCATCCCGACGGGCCAGACGCCTCCTGGCGCTCCGCTGCTCTTTCCCAACCGGAGATCGCGGCTTTCTCACGGCTCACATGAACGGAGGAAGGCGGCGGAGGGGGAATCCGCTCGCTTAGCTCCAGATCGGAGTTTGTGTGGTGGTGGTTGGGTTTTTTTTTTTTTTCTTTTTTTCTTTCCCAACCCCGAAGTCAGCCGCCCCCTCCCCCCACTTTTTTTAGGAGCGACGATCCTTCCTGACAGCCAAGAAGAAAACTTGACAGATTAATTAGTATTTTTGTTTTTGTTTTGTTTTGTTTGTTTCCTGGTCGCGCCAAAGAACTTAGAGAAAAGCCACCGGAATCCTTTGAGGGAGATCTGTGAGGCCCGGAGCGCAACTCATCACGGGGATGGCGGGGGCAAAAGGGAGAAATCGATCGGGATCCATTCCACCGGTCGGTGCAGAACTGCTAGAGACGTTGAAAAATCCGATGAAGCAATTGACCAGAGTGCGGGGGGCGGGGGGGGGGACGGACGGGACGGTTCCTTCCCCCACGCACCCCAAAACGGAATTTTAAAAAATTAATAAATTCTCTTTCCCACCCACCCACCCCTCTTTGATTATTAATAACACGGGACCGTATGGGAAGCAATTACTTTCCAAGAAGCAACGATTCTTGGTTTGGGGGGGGGGCAGCGTTTTCTTTAAATCATCCCCCGAAGAAGTTTGAGAGATGCTTTCCGAAAGAAGAGAAAGTTAAGGGGGGATCGTAGCAAAACCAGGATCGCAGAAGGCTGGCGGCCCCGGGGAAGGGAGGGGGGGGATATAAAAGTCAGGACACGAGGTGGAAGAAAGTTGATCGCGGGATCCGTAAGTCAGAAGGGGAGGGGGGTCGAGAGACCCACCGAAGGCTTGAACTGCTCCGCTCGCTTCCCTCCGTCGCTTGCTCCACTCGCCTGTCGTCCCAATGCCCTCGATCCCCGAATCCAGATCCGGCAAAGTTGGGTGGGGGGGGGGAGAAAAAACCCCAAAACACCATAAAGGGAAAAAAAAAAAAAAAGCACCCGCAAAAAAAAATCCGAAGTTTTCAAAAGCTTCTCTCGCTCCAATTTTTTAACAAAAAAAATAAAAAGAAAATCAGTTTTTGCTTCTCGGTGGAGAAAGAAAAAAAAAAGAGTAAGTGAAAGAGAGAAAGGAAAATTTAAAAAACAAAAAAATCTTTTCAGGCTTCTGCAGCCCGGCGCTTACCGCGGCCCCCTCGCCCAAAGCTGGGGGGCGAATAGAGACATCCCTCCGGTGTCTGAGGCGGTGGAGGAGAAGCGATTTCCCAAAGGCGATCCTGAAACTTACGAAGTGCCACCGCCGGCTTTCTGCCTCCGGAGCGGAGCGACTCAGGGAGGTTTCATTCCCCTCCCGGATCGGGGATCGCGGGCAGATCTTGCTCTCTCTTTCTTTCCGGATTTTTTCTTTCTTTCTTTCTTTTTTTTGGGGGGAGGGGGCACTAGCTCCCAGGCGGTGGTGGGGCTCGACGTCGCCCCCACCCACCCCCCTTCCTCCTCCTCCTCCCCCCCTTCTCCTCCTTTTCTCTGCAATCCCGCCGCGGCTCCTGCTTCTTTTCTCCTTTTGGCGCCCGGTCTCGGATTTAAGCCGCTGCCGCCTCCGGGCTGCTAGGATTGCGCGGCGCTGGGCTTACACAGCGGCACAAGATTTCATTGTGCTCGCGTTAGAAAAGAAGCGCAGCGGCAGCGGCAGCGAACGTGAGACTCACCGAGGTTTGAGAGGGGGGGGGGGGGGCAGAGAGAGAGAGAGAGATTGAAGAGGAAGGGAGCCCTAGTGGGAAACTGGCAGCATTACACCAGAAAAATCTCCCATTCTGGAAACCAGGGGTAGGGAGACCCCTAGCGCCGGAGCAGCGTCGTTGCAAGAGAGTTCTCGTTTCGTCGGCCAGCCGCTCTCCTGATGCCATTAGCAACGCCCAAGCCTGAGCAAACGCTGGGACTTTCTTCAATGATGTCTGGACTGAGGGGGGTGGGGGTGGGGGTGGGGGTGGGGGGTGTTCAAATTTTTTTACTACCGGTTCTGTGGGTGTGGCTTGGTGGGCGTGGCAGGGGAAGGATCAGGGGTGAAATCCAGCAGGTTCTGTCAGGTTCTGGAGAACCGGTAGCGGAAATTTTGAGCAGTTCGGAGAACTGGCAAATGCCACCTCTGGCTGGCCCCAGATTGGGGTCGGAATGGAGATTTTGCCCTTCCTCCAGGAGTAGGGAAAGAATGGGGATTTTGCAGTTTTTTGTTTTTTTTTTTAAATTTGATTTATATGCCGGGCGGCTTACAATGCATTAAGCAATAGCCTTCATACTTTTGTATATTTTATACAAAGTCAGCTTATTGCCCCACAAACTGGCTCCTCATTTTACCTACCTTAGAAAGGATGGAAGGCTGAGTCAACCTTGAGCCTGGCGAGATTCGATCTTACTTTAATTGCAGACAACTGGTGTTAATCGCAATGCTTTTAGTCTGCTGAGCCACCAGGCAGTATCCTTCCCCTGGAGTAGGGTGGGAATGGAGATTTTGCAGTATCCTTCCTATCCTTCCCCTGCCACACCCACCAAGCCACGCCCACCAAGCCACATCACGCCCACCAAGCCACGCCCACAGAACTGGTAGTAAAAAATGTGGATTTCACCACTGGGAAGGATACTGTAAAATCTCCATTCCCTCTGGATCAGCTGGGAGACAGAGAATAGATGGGAGCAGTCAGAATTTTTACTACTGGTTCTCCGAAACTACTTAAAATTTCTGCTACCAGTTCTCCAGAACTGCTCAGAACCTGCTGAAACTCACCTCTGAGTGGAGAGTTTGCCAAAAGTTGGTCAAAAATGAACTGGCCGTGCACCTAGATGAAGGCTTTTAAGTAGGGGAGAAAGACTGAGCAAATCTAAGAACAGATCCTAATCTGGTGCTGCTTAAGGACCGCCATAAAGTGAAGTAAAATAAAAATCCTAAACTCACCGATGCCCCGTTTCTCACTCTTGAGCCCTCCTGTGCCGTCCTGTTCCTGCAGCTTTCTAAAACGGGGCCTAAAGTGAGGAGTTCTCTCTGTGCTCTCTGAGCTTGCTTGTTTTCTTTGCAAACGTTTCATTCATTACCCAAACGTACCAGTGCTGATGATGTTACCTAGTTTGGTAATGAAACGTCTGGAAGAAAGCCACTAAGTTCAGGAGCTTAGCCTCATTTCAACCCCACAAATATTCTCCTTTATTAGTGCCTAGAGCATGTAATCGTTGCCACACAAAGTGGCAAAAACAAAAACGGATACATCCTATTTCTTTAGGAAAGTAGTTTAAACATAAAAAAATGGACCCTTGAAATAGTGCAAATCAAACCGTCTGCAATTTTTTTACGTGTGAGATTCCCACCCCTCCGATATAACCAAGATTTGTCAGTGCATCTAACATCCCGCCCCCTTTAAAAAAAAAAAAGTCACACACACCACAGAGGGTCATTCCCAGTGGTTGAGTTAAAAGCTCTCCACCCTGCCTTGAATCAGCAGGAAACTATGCCAGCGTGAAATTTTCTGTCCTTGCAGCTAATCCCTGTCCTGCCTTTATAGCCTCTGATCCAACTCACTGCAGAGGGGAACTGTCTGATCTTGCATGCGCAGGGCATGGCGAGCAAAGCATTTGTTGATTGCTCTGGCTTTGCTTCCTTCCCTTTTCCGTGGGAGAAACATCTGCCAACCACCGTCCTGGAGTATGAATGCAATGGCTCTGGCTGATGACCGCTTTGTCATCTCTATGCACGTTCTTGGGTATCTCCTTCTTGGGTGGGATGATGGGATGTCCTACCCATCTCCTCTATGCTCCTTCTTGGGTGGGTATCCTACCCATCTGTTGTGGTCTGCCAGCAGCCTGCGGAGCTAGCAGTGGAGTCAGACAGTGAGGAGGCTGGGGAGGAACATGGGCCACTCCTGGAGTCTGGGGAAGGCCCGGAGAGAGGACTCAGCGTCGGAGGCAGAGATGGGGCCAGGGCCATCTGGGAGTGATGCACGAACTCCAGAGCCCCCAGAGTTGGACAGCAGAGAGGCAGAGGAACAGGAGCAGCCTGTTCCTAGTATACGCATGCGCAGAGCTGCCAGAAGGCAAGAGCAGCTAAAGCAAAAGGGATGACTTGGGAGTAAGGCCAAGAGATGATTGGCCCCTCCCATAAGGCTTAAAAGAGAAACAAAGGCAATTGGGCCTTTTTGCAGGAAAGCAATGTTGCTAACTCTGTTTCCAGTTGGCATCTCTTGTTTGTTTCTGAACTTCATGGGGCTTTGCCAAGTAAGGCCTTTGGCAGGGTGTCAAAGAAGATAAAGGTAGTGATTATCCCAAAGGACTTCTTCTGAAGGACTTGTTTTGGAACTAATTTGGACTCAACTGGGAATGAACCTAATTCTCAGCTGTTACAATAAAATAGGTTTATTTGTGACTAATTGTGTCTTGTAATGACTCAGTAAGCCTAGGTCACACCACCACCATTTGAATTGAACCAAGTTTAGAAACAATAATTTGGAGTCACAGGGTGAATTAGGGTCACACGTCTTTGATTGTGTGCCATCAAACCGGGGTTGGCTGTTGGTGGCCACCTAGGTAGCTTTTCTCCAAGATGATATGTCCCCAACCTGGACCTTCAGATCTCTCAACAATTGCACTCATTGCCGTTGTATTGGAGTCCATCCATACCTTGTTGCTGGTCATCTTCTTCTCTTTCCTTCCACCTGTCCCAGTATTATAGTTTATTAGTTTATTTGATTTATATACTGCCCTACTCCCGAAGGACTCAGGGCGGTGAACAGCCACAAGATAAAAACACATAAATACAAAATTTAAAAACAGAATAAAACCGAATTAAACAATTTGGCCGAAGACAGATTTAAAACACCCCAATAAATTAAAAATGAATTAAAATTTGTGTTTTAAAAAGGGAAAAATTAGGCCAGGCCAGCCTGATGGAACAAAAAGGTCTTGAGAGCGTGGCGGAAGGTGCGTAGATCCAGGATCCTCCGTATCTCCGGGGGGAGCTCATTCCAGATAGTAGGTGCGTCCACAGAAAAGGCTCTCCCCCTGGGGGCCGCCAGTCGACATTGTTTGGCCGATGGCACCCGGAGGAGCCCCTCTCTATGAGAGCGTACCGGATGGTGGGAGGCTACTGGTGACAGCAGGCGGTCCCGTAGATAACCAGGTCCTAAGCCATGGAGCGCTTTAAAGATGGTAACCAAGACCTTGAAGCACACACGGAAGACCACCGGAAGCCAGTGCAGCTCGCGCAGGAGAGGTGTTACATGGGAATGCCATGTCGCTCCCATAACCACCTGCGCGGCCGTACTCTGCGCCAGTTGGAGCCTCCGGGTGCTCCTCAAGGGGAGCCCCATGTAGAGAGCATTGCAGTAGTCCAGGCGGGAAGTGACGAGGGTATGAGTGACCGTGCGTAAAGAGTCTCATGGACTTCCTCGGGGAGCTGAGTCTTTCCATAATGTGTCTACATTATAATTTTGAGCCAATGTAGAGAAAAGTAAAGTCTTAAACTTAGGCAAGAAAAAACAAAAGTACACATATAGACTAGGGGAAACCAGACTTCATAGCAGTAACTGTGAGAGGGATCTTGGAGTCTTAGTGGACAACCAATTAAATATGACCCAGCAATGGGCGGCAACCAAAAAAGCCAACTCAATTCTAAATTGCATTAACAGAGGGATACGATCAAGTGAGGTACTAATACAACCCTATATAGCCTTAGTAAGACCACACCTAGAATACTGCATCCCGTTTTGGTCACCACAATGTAAAAAAGATGTTGAGACTCTAGAAAGAGTGCAGAGAAGAGCAACCAGGATGTTTAGGGGACTGGAGTCTATAACATGTAGAATGGCTACAGGAACTGGCTATGGCTAGTCTAGTGAAGAGAAGGGCCAGGGGACACACGATAGCAGTGTTCCAATATTTGAAGGGCTGCCACAAAGAGGAAGGGTTCAACTTATTTTCCAAAGCACCTGTAGGCCAGACAAGAAATAATGGATGGAAACTGATCAAGGAGAGATTCAACTTGGAAAGAAGGAGTGAGAACAATCAACCAATGGAACAGAAGTTGCCTTCAGAAGTTGTGGGAGCTTCATCACTGGAGGCTTTCAAGAAGAGATTGGACTGCCATCTGTCGGAAATGGTATAAGGTCTCCTGCTTTGGCAGGGGGTTGGACTAGATGACTTACAAGGTCCCTCCCAACCCTGTTAAACTGTAATCTGTGTCTTAATTGACTACTCTGGGTTGATTTGTTTGAGGATCTGCTTCTTGGCTATGCATAGTTTTGTCCCAAATCTTCTCCAACAATACAGTTCAAAAGCATCAAGACATTTCCTACTGTGCTTCTTCAAAGTCCAACTTTTGCTTCCAGAGAGCGTCACAAAGAAAACCATTGCCGGCAGAATTCTGATCTTTATAGTTAAGGATGCATCCCATGTCACAAGAAGGACTTTCATTTAAATGTTCTCACTTCTTCTGCATAGAGGCAACAGAAACCAACTTTCAGATTCCTGTATGGTCTGTTCAGGAGATGGTAGGAAGATAGTTATTTCACTGTCACATTTCAAGCCCAGGCTTTCAAGTTTTCAATGTCACTGTGTCAAATTCCTTGTGCAGACAACAGCAGATGGCAGCAAATGAGGCTGACCCCCAAACCAGAAGAACACCCACCCACATCAGTGTCTTGTAGTCAGGGCACAAATCCTATTTACAGATCACCTAACTTTGTCTCAGTTACAACCAGTGGCAAAATGTATTACATTTAAGATGTTGTAAATTCATGACTATCATTAAGTGTTCTACCTTATGATTCTTGATGAACGTATCTTTTCTTTTTATGTACACTGAGAGCGTATGCACCAAAGACAAATTCCTTGTGTGTCCAATCACACTTGGCCAATAAAGAATTCTATTCTATTCTATTCTATTCTATTCTATTCTATTCTATTCTATTCTATTCTATTCTATTCTATTCTATTCTATTCTATTCTATTCTATTCTATTCTACTCTACTCTATTCCTATTCCTATTCCTATCCCATCCCATCCCATCCCATCCCATCCCATCCCATTCCATTCCATTCCATTCCATTCTACTCTACTCTACTCTACTCTATTCCTATTCCTATTCCTATTCCTATTCCTATTCCTATTCCTATTCCATCCCATCCCATCCCATCCCATCCCATCCCATCCCATCCCATCCCATCCCATCCCATCCCATCCCATCCCATCCCATCCCATTCCATTCCATTCCATTCCATTCTATTCTATTCTATTCTATTCTATTCTATTCTATTCTGGTATAGTCTATTCTATTCTATTCTATTCTATTCTATTCTTCATGCTATTAGTGGAAAAGGGAAAATATTGCTTGAATACCAGCATGAGTTAAGAATGATTTAAGGCTACCTCAGGCATAGGCTTACACACACACACACACACACACACACACACACACACACAAAACCCATGGGGGGAACACAATGAGGACACAGCACAAATGTGAACAAAGCACATTTGTGACATGGTTTGATACAAGGAAGGAAAGGTCCCGTGTTGCAATTTCTATCTTAAGAGTCGTACACACACTGTTTCAACTGGCTTTTATTTGAAATAGCAATAGCACTTAATTATATACTGCTTTACAGCTCCCTCTAAGCGATTTACAGCAGGGGTGTGAAACTCAAGGCCCGGGGACCAGATCCGGCCCGCGGGGTACTTAGATCTGGCCTGCAGGGCCGCCCTGGAAACAGCGACGGACCAGCCCGTGGTGCTTCTGCCAGCGAAAATGGGCTCCCAAGCTCAGTTTTCAGCTGCCATGGTCTCCTGCAACCCACTGCCAGTGAAAATGGAGCTCCAATCGTTCCCAGCATTAGGCTCTTCTCCAGTGAGTCCTTCCTTCTCATTAAATGGCCAAAGTATTTGAGTTTCAAATACTTCAGGATCTGGCCTTCTAAAGAGCAGTCAGGGTTGATTTCCTCTAGGACTGACCGGTTGGATGGCCTTGCAGTCCAAGGGACTCGCAGGAGTTTTCTCCAGCACCAGAGTTCAAAGGCTTCAATTCTTTGGTGCTCAGCCTTCCTTATGGTCCAACTTTCACAGCCATACATTGCAACTGGGAACAGCATAGCCTTGACTAAATGCACTTTTGTTAGCAGGGTGATGTCTCTGCTTTTTAGTATGCTGTCTAGATTTGCCATAGCTTTCCTCCCCAGGAGCAAGCGTCTTTTAATTTCTTGGCTGCAGTCCCCATCTGCAGTGATCTTGGAGCCCAGGAAAATAAAATCTGTCACTACCTCCGTTTCTTCCCCATCCAGGAATTGAGAGGGCCGGATGCCATGGTCTTAGTTTTCTTAATGTTAAGTTTCAAGCCAACTATTGCACTCTCCTTCTATGGTTAATTATGTAGTTAATAAATAATTTATAAGGGACAAATGTTGGTTAATTTTTGAGACTAGAAAATCTGAAATGTGGATAGGTGTCTGCCCTCTGCAGTAAAACCAGACAAGAAACATGATCAGTTCAGCTAAATCTACTTTATTGTAAGGCTACATTAACAGATATTTTGCAAGTCTGCAGGTACAAATATCCCACCCTCACTTTTAACTGCCTGAAAAATTAGGGCAGCAGCTCCTTCCTAAGTTTCTTCCTCTGGCCACTGGTAATAAAATCCTTGAATTCTATATCTGCCAGAAGGATAAAAGTGCAGGTTTTAGAAAGATAGTTTGAAAAAATTAAACTAAGTGTTTATAGTTTGTAGAAAAGATGGTACTAAGAGACGATGACCAAAAGCGTCAAAAAGCAACACAGAAAATTTTATCTTTGAAGAAAGTGCTTGTGTAACACAGCGCAGAAAAATTCATTTGTTGAATAAATGTGCAGTTTTGATTTGAGGATAGCTTGATGAGCGATTCAGTCCTCAAGAGTCTTCCTCTATAAAAATTTCCATTTGGAAGATTATTTTGATAATTAAAATAAAGTAGAAAAAAAAAGAAATTTAGCACATATATTTGCATGCTACAGTAAACCATAAATAAAAAAGAATAATATCAGAAATGTGGTATAGAGGTAAAAAACATCAGTAGCGCCTCTCAGATGAAAGGAGTTCTCTTTTAAATTCTCTCAAAAATTTATGGAATTCTGCTACTTCGTCCTGATAGCTTTTAAGGTCAGAATATTTCTGCAAAAAAAGGAAGAAAAACACTATTGTGAATAATCTCAAATTCTAAGTGTAAGTATATAAAATTTTAAGTACAGGTAGTCCTCGATTTATGACCACAAGTGAATCAGTGGTGGATTTCAAAATTTTTTACTACTGGTTCTGTGGGTGTGGCTTGGTGGCTGAGGCATGGCTTGGTAGGCGTGGTTTGGTAGGCGTGGCAGGGGAAAGATACTGTAAAATCTCCATTCCCACCCCAGTCCGGGGGAAGGATACTGTAAAATCTCCATTCCCTCCCCACTCCAGGGGAAGGATACTGCAAAATCCCCATTTCCTCCCAATCAGCAGGGACTTGGGAGGCAGAGAATAGATTGGGGCGGGGCCCAGTCAGAATTTTTACTACCGGTTCTCCGAAACACTCAAAATTTCTGCTACCGGTTCTCCAGAACTGGTCAGAACCTGCTGAAACCCACCTCTGAAGTGAACCCAAAATTTATGTTGTTAAGTCAGACAGGCATTAAATGAACTCACTTAGCCACATAATTTTTTGGCTCAATTGTGGTTGTAAATCAAGGACTTCCTATAATCCTTCTTAGACGTTATATGAAGCCCTTCTGTCCCTCACTTAATCCATAAGCAATGCATTTCCAACAAAGTGAGTTACCTTACGTATCCAGCCGTCTTCCTCCAGTTGGCTGAAAACTCGTTTCACTAAATCTTTGACTGGCTCATCCTGAAGATTTTTATCTCCTTTATCCTGAAGACATTGTTTTTTTATAGCTGAACAGCATTTCTGATACAACTTATATTTATAATGCTTCAGATCGTGATAAACCTTGGTACGCCTTTGACATACGACACCGACCTTCAAACTCTGCAGAAACGTAAGTTCTTTTAGTGAGTATATTCTGAATCACTTCTATTAGTTAAGCAAGAATGGATGTCCTATAAAATAAGAGAATTTAACGCAGACAGGACTTTTATTACTATCCGATAATGAAATCTTAGTTAGAAAACCACTCTTGCACCCGTTTTGATGAAGGCAACGGTGATGTTGATTGTGTCCAACTTTTTCTTTTTTGTTCAAGAAAAGTAACAAGCAATTACTTTTTTTTGTAACTAGTTAAAGTATTGGCACCGATGTATTTGTCTGACATTTGAAAGTATAAATAAAAAAGATGACTTCTTTGTTGCATACATTTATTATCATTAAGTCACAAGGAATATCTTGTTCAATGAATTGCAAAGGATTTTTTTTAATGAGTTGCTGAATATAAACACGGAAAACCCTCAGTTTACATAGTAGACCAGTCAAACCTAGCAAAAATCTAAGCAGTCATTAGAAAGTTTGGGAACAGAGAATTAGGAGCCCAGCAAATATTCAGTAACTTAAAGCTGTACATATACGCAGCAGATGCTGTTAGCACATGAAAGGAATTGGGCAAAATGTTGTTTCAAAGGGCATATTTCTCACATAATAAAATGATCACAGCTTCTAAATCGACCAATTCACTTCTCCTGTTTACTTAATTACCCAGCTATCTAAAGTTACTTTATTTGCACGTAAATATGAGGGGAAAAAATGATAAATTATTCTGAATTAAGCCAGTCTCTAGCATTTTCATTTTAGGCAGACTTTGGATTTTGCATTCAGAAAACCAAAATGCCAATGGGAAAAAAAGATTTCAAAATTGAGCCAGATTTTAAACCTGAGCATTTTAATTCCTGAGCAATCAGGAATTCTGGGACTTGAAGTCCACAAATCATACAAGGGCCATCGTTTCCCACCCCGGCTTTAGAACTGCAGAAAGGCAATTCAGATTCAGAGGAATCCCTAGAGATTTTGGAAACGTGAATTTTAAAGAGAAAGCTTGTTTTATAGAGCAGCTGATAGGTACAGTGAGTAGTGACTCTATCATGATACGTACGAAACGCCTTTCCCATTTTGGCTTTGGGCACACTACAACACCAGCATACATTATTATAAATACCACATCTGAAATCTGTAAACAAAATAACCTTTAAAAAGCGCAAAGGCTTTAAAACACGCAAATACATTAGCTTTTCAGTAATTAGCAAAACATACCTGTATATCGTCAGGCATGAAGTCATCCACTTTCAGTGTTTTATGACAGTACTCATTTCCAGAAAGAATCACTAGAAACCTACAGTCTCTATCTAGCTCACAGGCTTCACAAATACGCCTCTCTAAGCATTGCGATTTTATGTCGACATCAGAGTAACTGTTTAGTCGTCTCTAGAAAAATACAATTGATTAGAGTTCTGTTGTTAATAGCTCCAGGGACTTAGTTACATTTTGGGGATACTACACACTCATATAGAAGCAAAATTTAGATAGTCCTCAACTTACAACCATAATGGAGTTCAAGTTTCTTGAAGGCAAATGAGAAAAGTACTAAATCAGAATGCATTAAAGTATTACAAATACATAGGTTGCCCTTGATTTAGGATCACAGTTGAGCCCTAAGTTTCTGTTGCTAAGTGAAACATTTGTTAAATGAATTTTGCCCCATTTTACGACCTTTCTTGCCACAGTGGTTAAGTGAATCACTGCAGTTATTACATTAGTAGCATGGTTGTTAAGTGAATCTGGCTTTCCCATTGGCTTCGCCAAAGGGGATCGCATGACCCCAGGAACACGGCAGCTGTCATAAATATGCCAATTACATGCCAATCATGTGCCCCAGGTGATCTTGGGGATGTTACAACAGTCATAAGTGTGAAAAATGGTCCTAAGTCACTTTTTTCAGTGCTGTTGTAACTTCGAAGAGTCACTACATTAATTGTTTTAAGGGCTGCTTGTATGTGTTACTCTTTTCCATTGTTGCATACTGCACTAAGAAAAATAACACATTGCATGGATCTGAATGCCAGAGCCAAATCAACTAAGCAATTAGATTAAAAGATTAAGAAGAGAATTCAGTACCCTGTATCGTTTCTTCCAGCGACATCCCGAACCTACACTTTCAAGGTAAGGTTGAATAAAGTGTTCATCAAAATAATAGAGGGAAGTTCGCATATCCTGCGCGTATTTCTTTTTTCTTTTTCCTTCTTTGGAGAGAAAACAAATAGGCCTTGTTACTAACATCACAATTTTTATAACAGTACAAGGAGCCCTCAATGTATGGCCACAACTGGAACCAGAAGTTATGTTGCTAAGCAAGCTGCGTTCCATTAATGACCTTTTGGCCATGGTTGTTAAGTGAATCACACAGTCGCTGAGAGAATACAGTTTTCCCCATTGACTTTGCTTGTTGGAAACTGGCTGAAAGTAATGATCATGTTAATCCAGGGGTGAAATCCAGCAGGTTCTGACAGGTTCTGGAGAACCGGCAGCGGAAATTTTGAATAGTTCGGAGAACCGGCAAATACCACCTCGGGCTGGCCCCAGAGTGGGGTGGGAATGGAGATTTTGCAGTATCCTTCCCCTGCCACGCCCACCAAGCCACGCCCACAGAACCAGTAGTAAAAAATTTGGATTTCACCACTGTGTTAATCTCAGGACATTGCAACCATGGCAAATACACGCCGCTTACCTGAATTTTGATTACCTGAGTGTGGAGGTGATGTGATGGTTTTAAGTGTGACAAACAGTTGTATGTCACTTTTTTCAGTGCCACTGTAACTTCAAATGGTTGCTAAATGAATGGTTGTTAAGGATTATCTCTAATGTATTTATTTACTGCTCTGAGGGGGAAAAAATTGAAAGAGGATAACAAATATCTTCTTTGGAAGGGATGCTTGCTTACCATATAAGGAGCTCAGAAATGTATTATCGATTGCATTGATGAGAAAGGCTTTCACAACTCTTTGAAAGTGTAAATATTGATCGACCTCAGACACTGTTTTAAAAAAAAAATCATCACAAATATGTGTCAGTACGGCCCATATGAATAAACAACTAGGTGCTAATAAATACTATAAACAAGGATATTTAAGCTACTACTTATTTGTTGTGACCTTACCAAATGGAACATGTTTCTCCAATAAGTTACTGGCCACATGATGTTTTCTGTCTTGATATTGGAAGTCTTCCTCCCCAAAGTTATCCCTTTTCAATTTCTTCTTCTCCTCCTCCTCCTCCTCCTCCTTTTCTTCTTCTTCTTCTTCTTCTTCTTCTTCTTCTTCTTCTTCTTCTTCTTCTTCTTCTTCTTCTTCTTCTTCTTCTTCTTCTTCTTCTTCTTCTTCTTCTTCTTCTTCTTCTTCTTCTTCTTCTTCTTCTTCTTCTTCTTCTTCTTCTTCTTCTTCTTCTTCTTCTTCTTCTGCATCATCTATGAAATTTTTCATGCTATCTTCATCAGACACAACACCGATTTCCTCTTGTGTGAAGGGTGAGTGACCATCCTGTTGCATCAAAGCATCATCTGCACTTCTCTGGTGACGTTAAAAAAAGGCACAGTATTAATAGAACATTTGCTGTGGCCTGTCGGCCGCTGGCCCCTCCAGCAGCCATATCAGAGGAGGAGGAGGTGTGGGAGTCAGGGTCAGCATCAAGGCAATCTGAGAGCTCTGAGGGGGAAGATGGAATGGAACTGGCAGAGAGAGAGAGAGAGAGAGAGAGAGAGAGAGAGAGAGAGAGAGAGAGGGAGAGGCAGAGGCTGGGTTATCGCCAGTCCTCAGGTCTGGAGGTAGCTGATGAGGAAGAGGAGGAACAGCTGGCCTCCTGATGTGCAGATGCACCAAAGGCAGAAGAGAGGAGAACAGCAGGAATCTATGGGCCGGTCCTTGGGCAGAAGAGCCACTGCTGCTAGCTAAACCCCACACTAATTCTGGGGATAAAAGGCAGGGGGTGGAGATGAATAGGTGTAGCAGACAACTATTCATCTGCCCTTGGTCAGGCAGTGATTTCTGAATCCTGTCTGGAATTTATCAGAATTCTTCCTTTAAATCTGTGGCGCTGAAAGTTGGGCGTGCCTTGTGAGCATGAAAGAGAGAGAAAGAGAGCGGGAAGGAGGGAGGGAGGGAGGGAGGGAGGGAGGGAGGGAAGGAGGGAAGGAGATAATCCTGGTGTGTGGGGCTATTTCAGGGGGAAAGGGAGCGAACTTCGCTTTCCACAGGCACTGAAAGACTTGTAGCCTGCTGTGTGTGTGAGAGAGACTTTTTTGCCGGGGCTGAGGCACTCCTAATAAAGGGAACATTTAATTAACTACTCTCGTGTTTGGGAGCTGTGTCAGAACAATATTTTAGTTGAATACTTTGGTGTTTCATGAATGGGATTAGCATTCATTCAGGCGCCTGATGGACCCTGATAGGTTCCAGATGGAGCTTGGGCCATTTCCTGAGACTCTAGCTCATGACTCGGCTGATGACCTGGTGGCCGCCTGGGATAGGGCGGCTGCCGGGGCTTTGGACCGGGTCGTGCCTTTGTGGCCTCTGACCCGGCACCGAACTCACTTAGCTCCTTGGTTTTCCGAGGAGCTGAGGGAGATGAAGCGCCGGAAAAGACGCCTAGAGAGTGATTGGAGGGCCAGTCGTTCCGAGTCTGACTTGACACTGGTAAGGTCTCATATTAAGACCTACCTAGTGGCGATAAAAGCGGCGAAATCTAGTTATTTTGCCGCTCTTATCGTGTCATCAGATAACCGCCCAGCCGCCCTGTTTAGGGTGACCCGCTCCCTCCTCCATCTGGGAGCGCGGGAGGACCCCTTGCAGGGCCGAGCTGAGGATTTTGTACAGTATCTGGATGATAAAATAACTCAGATTCGGGAAGACTTGGCTGCCGACTGGGTTAGTTCAGACGAGATGACTGAGGCAGGCCTTGAGAGTGTTATCTGGGAGGAGTTTGATCCTGTGGCTCCCGAGGATGTGGACAGGATCTTGGGACAGCTGAATGCAACCACATGTTTATTGGACCCGTGCCCCTCCTGGTTGGTGGAGGTTACACGAGGCTGGCTCCAGGGGATTATCAACGCTTCTTTGAGCGAGGGTGTCCTACCGGCTGCCTTGAAAGAGGCGGTGGTGAGGCCTCTCCTCAAGAAGCCATCCCTGGATCCGACTGTTTTGGCTAACTATCGTCCAGTCTCCAACCTTCGCTTTATTGCGAAGGTTGTTGAGAGTGTGGTGGCGCGACAGCTTCCCCAGTACCTGGATGAAGCTGTCTATCTGGATCCGCTCCAGTCCGGCTTCAGACCTGGGTACAGCACGGAAACGGCATTGGTCGCGTTGGTGGATGATCTCTGGAGGGCTCGGGATAGGGGTTACTCCTCTATCCTGGTCCTGTTAGACCTCTCAGCGGCTTTTGATACCATCGACCATGGTATCATGTTGCGCCGGCTGGAGGGACTGGGAGTGGGGGGCACCGTTTTGCGGTGGTTCTCCTCCTATCTCTCCGACCGGTCGCAATCCGTGTTGACAGGGGGGCAGCAGTAGATCCCAAGGCGCCTTGTTTGTGGGGTACCACAAGGGTCGGTCCTCTCGCCCCTCCTGTTCAACATTTATGTGAAGCCGCTGGGTGAGATCATCCGTGGTTTTGGGGTGGAGTTCCATCAGTACGCTGATGATACTCAGCTGTACATTTCCACCCCAGACCATCCCAATGATGCCTTGGAAGTGATGTCCCAGTGCCTGGAGGCCGTGCGGGTCTGGATGGGGAGAAACAGGATTCGACTCAACCCTTCCAAGACCGAGTGGCTGTGGCTGCCGGCGTCCCGGTATAGCCAGCTGACGCCATCGCTGGTTATTGGGGGCGAATCATTGGCCCCCACGGAGAGGGCCCGCAACTTGGGTGTCCTCCTGGATGCGCGGCTGTCTTTAGAAGGGCATATGACAGCCGTGGCCAGGGGGGCTTTTTGTCAGGTTCGCCTGATACGCCAGTTGCGCCCCTTTCTGGACCGGGACTCCCTACGCACGGTCACTCAAGCACTCGTCACTTCTCGTCTGGACTATTGTAATGCTCTCTACATGGGGCTCCCCTTGGGGTACACCCGGAGGCTCCAACTGGTGCAGAATGTGGCCGCGCGGGGGATTATGGGAGCGACAGGGCGCTCCCATGTGACTCCTCTCCTGCGCGAGCTGCATTGGCTTCCGGTGGACTTCCGGGTGCGCTTCAAGGTGTTGGCAATCACCTTTAAAGCGCTCCATGGCTTAGGGCCAGGGTACTTACGGGACCACCTTCTGCCACCAATAGCCTCCCACCGGCCGGTTCGCTCCCACAGAGAGGGCCTCCTCAGGGTGCCGTCGGCCAAACAATGCCGGCTGGCGACCCCCAGGAGGAGAGCCTTCTCTGTGGTGGCACCTACCCTCCGGACTTTTCGTCGGGCCCTAAAAACTTATTTTTTTCAGTTAGCCGGTCTGTCTTGATTTTAGGGTTAGTTTTAAAATTTTAATATTGATTTTAAATTGACAAGTTTTAAATTACGGGCCAAATTTATAAATTATTTTAACTTTATTTTTAACTGTGATGTTATGTATAGATGTTTTTATCTTGGCTGTTCACCGCCCTGAGTCCGAAAGGAGAAGGGCGGTATAGAAATTTGAATAATAATAATAATAATGTTAAAGTAATTTCACTGTGTATATGGAGAATATAGTACCAATATGTTTTATGTTAGGCTACTGGTTATTGCAAAGTTTGAGTTAAGTGGTCATATGACACAATAAATACAGTACCATATCTACAAAGATCAGAGCTGTGCAAACATTGGTATTCCATGTGATGCTCTATCAAAGTGAAAGTTGGGCTTTAAAGAAGCAGGACAGGAAGAGCGTTGATGCTTTTGAATTGTTGTGGTTGGAGAAAATTCCTGAGATACTGTGGACAGCCAAGAAAACAAACAGGTCATTGAACAGATCAACGCAGTTTCCACTGGAGGCATAAGTGAGCAGGTTCATATTATCCAACTTCGGACGCATTATGTGGAGACCCAGCTCTCCAGAGAAAGTGCTAATGTTGAGAAAAGTGGAAGAGGAAAAGATGGCTAAAAAAAAAAAGTGAGGGAGGGAGTCAGTTACAATAGCAATAAGTGCATTGTTGGAAGAGATGGAAGACCAGGTTATGGACAGATTGTCATGGAGAAAAATCTACCCACACGGTCACTAAGAGTTGATTAAGAGTTATGGGAAGCCAACCCCATCTCCAGAAGAAGGAAATATTAAAAAGGCAGAATATTATATTTCCCTGGATGAGAAATGGAGAAACATGTTTTTTAAGAGGGAGAAAGCAGGCCCCACCTTTCGCAATAGCCCTCAGCAGATGTCAGCAGTTAAGAGATAAAGAGCTTATTGAAAGAAGTCAGGTATCTAGGCAGCTCTATTCATAAGCAAATATCCCCACCCAGGAGACAAAACAGGAGGAAAGCCATTAAGACACAATAGGAGTTGCCCAATATCCTTTCAGAACATAAGCCCCTTAATTGCATCATATCAGTTGTTGCACTACCCCCAGCAAACTTTAACCAAACTTAGCTCAGACAAACATGACCCCTACATAGCCCCATGGAAGTCTGACAATAGAATACATGTTCTTGCATAGGAACAGGAAGCTCAAATACAAAGCCTAGGGAAGGTATAAAAAAACCCCACTCTCAACTCCAAGTGGCCACCTGCACCAGAACCACAAACATGTGATCCTGTTCATCAATAAATGGACTCTCTTTCCAATTAGCCTCCAGCCTCCATTTTGTCTCCAGTGCCTTTCTCCCAGCTTGGAACTGAACCAGATGGGTATTTTCTTCCAACAGAGTCAAAGTAGAAGATCAGAAGATGTGGAGCAGAAGTAGGGAACAGTGGTCCTTTTATGACTTATTGACTTCAACTCTCAGAATTCCTGAGCCAGCCATGCTGGCTTAGAATTCTGGGAGTTGAAGTCCATAATTTATAAAGGGGCCATGATCCACCACCTCTGATAATGGAGAGACCTGGCCTATGATACAACTGAATGGATAACATCATCATCATCATCATCGAGATTATGTACTTTTTTTTTTTTTTATTGCAAAAGTTTTACAATTACATTTTCACCCCTTTTTTTTTCACCCCCCCACCTCCCTCCCCAAACTTCCCATCCTCCCTAACCCTCCCTAACCCTCCCCCCCCCAGACTTCCCTATTATGTACTCATAACTAATAACACTGATATGTATACCTGAACTCATCCCTCCCCCTACATAATTTTCCCTCTTTGTCTCTTTATATTAAAATATTTCTAATACATTGTTTTCAAATAAAAGCTATTTGATACTTTCTAATTTGGTATTTGTTCTGAACATATTCTATCCACCTTTTCCATTCCCATTCATAAGTCTCTTGTGAACAATCTTTTAAATATGCTGAAATCTTCGCCATCTCTGCAAAACTGGCCATCTTCGAAGTCCATTCCTCGATAGTAGGCAAAGCTTCATTCTTCCAATATTTACCTATCAACAATCTTGCTGCTGT